TCCTCTCAATGTTTACTACACTAGTAAGAGTATCTTCAATTTGTGAGGCGTTCGACTCAGTAGTTGGTATTGCTCTAAATTTAATTTTATTAATTAGTAAAATTAATTAACTAGTTTATGTAAGTAGAATTGGTTTGCACATGTCATATACTCACATCATTTAAATTTCAAAAATTCAAAATATATACCTTGAAAAGTCTCCCTTCTACTTCTGTTCCTCAATTTTTTCCTCTCCCTGAAACAACATTGGTTACTAATCTCTTGCTGTTATTCCCAAGCAGAAAACAACGTCAGTGTTGTTGTCCACCTTTCTGATGTTAGGCAATGCCAACACAAAGGAAAAACATTGACTCAAGTATAGTACTAGCTAAAGTTCGTATTAAGGTATTAGCATGGGCTCAAAAAATCAATAATTGCAAAACTCTTGGTAACTATATTAAAGGGCAAACGACAAATAGGAAAAAAAGGCACATATGACATTTATGGTATATGCTGTATTCAACTGTGTATTTGTAATAAATAGATTCATAATATTGCCTTCACTCCATGTGTTAAATCAAATATTGCTTTTTCAATATCAAAAAATATTCTGAGTCAAATTTATGGTAGAATCATAAGAATACAGTAATAAATAGGTCTTTGACAATTAGTATATAGTGATATTTTTTAAAATATCTGCTCCTATGCGAGCATTTGACCCAACCAACATTTGCCTCTTGCTCTGGAGCTGTGCCCTCAGCATTGTAGTTGTGGTTATTCTATTAATTGGGGAGAACTCCATGAAAAACTAGAGAATACAAAGTCATAGTTATACTACATGATGCTTGTTTTTCCCAAATGCTCTTGGAAAAGTGTATATGTTTAATGATCTACCAAAAGACCATTGACCTTCTGGAACCACTAAATGTTCAGAGATTTCACAATTCCCTTCAGAGCCACCACATGATTCTACCACTGGTCTGAAGTGGACTAGACCGCAGTGTTTATAGTTGAGTGGAACTTCCAGAAGAAGTTAGTTTGTGGGTAGCCAGTAATATAGGCGGGAACTCGGGAAAACCTAGTCAGTGATACATACAAAATAATAATTGCTGACATTTCCTTTGCAATGGACCAGGCACGGAGCTGAGTTTTTCCATTGTGTTACCTCTTTAAATTATTGCAACAATTCTAGATAAGAGATAGGATTATCATCCACATTATGCAGATAAGGCACAGAGCACTTAAGCAACTTTTACAATGTCACACAGCCAGTACCGTATACTCAACACAAAATCATTTTTGATACTGAGTTCAGGCATTTTGGTGCAAATTTTGGCACAAAGTTTGACCACTACTCTGTAGCTATATACCTAAGAAGACAAAAATTTAAGAAAATAGTATATAGAGAAAGCAGGACCCAGCATATAATCTTGGAGAAAGCAAAAAGTAGAAAAACTATTAGAGGCACTGGAGAAAATTCATATTGGAGAGAACTCAGAATGCACCATGTCATGAAAAGTAAGGGAAAGATAGAGGTGTTCATCACCTTTAAATGCTAGGGGATGTCATGGAACATTATAAAAAGTAGAGAACCCTGAATTCAGTGATTTTTGGAAAAGCAATTACAGGCCAGTGTTGGAGGCTGGAAGCCAAAGTCCAAGGGACTATTGAGTAGGTGGAGGTAGCAACTATGGTTTACTTTTCCAAGATACTTGGCAGCAGGAAAGAAATTGTATAGATGTTTGACAGGGTAGCAGCCTTAAGAGAAATTTTCATTTTAGAATAGAAAAAAATAAAGCATTTTTGTAAGCTCAGAAAAAGATACTGTCAACAGGAGAAAAGGCAGAACCAAGAAAGAAATGAGCATATTGATGGAGTATGCCTGTAAATGGCATGAGAGTAAGAATCCAAGAGAATCCTTGGAAAGAAAAAAGAATACCATAGGATCTTAATGCTGCTGTCATTCAAATTACTTGCACTCTTTATCTGTTCTGTTTTTATAAGTCTAGCACTTTAAAATACCTCCTCTAGATATTCAACTGGTATATGAAAGAAAGACAACTAGAGACAAAACCAGAAGAATTAAGCAAGACGGATATATTACTTAGCACCATTTGGTTGCAACTAATACTGGCTTAAGTGTTAGTTGCAACTAATACTAATACCTAGTATTACCAGCTTAAGTATAATAATGAGGACTTTATTAATAGAATGCTGGAGTGTCTCATAGCAAAGATTAAGCTGGGCCTCAAGAATGACTTTAAAATATGGTCTGAGGCTGGGCGCGGTGGCTCATGCCTGTAATCCTAGCACTCTGGGAGGCCGAGGCCAGTGGATCGCTCAAGGTCAGGAGTTCGAGACCAGCCTGAACAAGAGCGAGACCCCGTCTCTACTAAAAAATAGAAAGAAATGATCTGGACAACTAAATATATATATATATATATATATATATAAAAAATTAGCCGGGCATGGTGGCACATGCCTGTAGTCCCAGCTACTCGGGAGGCTGAGGCAGAAGGATCGCTTGAGCCCAGGGATTTGAGATTGCTATGAGCTAGGATGATGGCACGACACTCTAGCCAGGGCAACAGAGCCAAACTCTGTCTCGAAAAAATAAAATAAAATAAAATATGATCTGAATCACTGTGGAGAACCTCTGTAAACAGTCTTCTCTCTCAGTCTGTTTCTGCTCTTACAGCACTATACTGTAGTTTAACTTTCTTTGCATCAAGTGCAACAGAAGAGAAAAATGGATGCTGCCAATAGCTTCAAAGCTGACATTCCATTATATAAAAGTATAGAAACTCATTTGAATGGGAGCATTTTGATTGGCCCAGCTTATGTCAGGTGTCTACCGTTGGACCAATCATCTGTGGCCAGGTGATATGGTTATATTTTATGAGCATGCTGCTTTGCACTGCCAACTCTGGTTGGTTTTACGGATAGTTCCTAGGAAAATTTGCAAGGCGGGCTAGGAGGTAAAACAACTGTTTTCTACTAAACAGGACAGACAAGGCAATGTTACAGGATGAGAACTGGGACAGTTTCACACAAATTTCTGATATTTTCTTGGCTTTCATTTTCTTAAAAGAGAAGAGTCAACTCAGCTTGCTTACACATACCAAGTCATTATGGCAACGCAGTTCACACCTAGGGCATTGCAAGCATATCTCATGTGTTCAACAAGCACAGATTGAACACTTACTATGTTCCAGGTGTAGCTTAGTGTTGGTTTCACTGCAAACCCACTGAAATTGACAATTAAAATACATGTAAAGATATGGGAGAAAACAGTGAATGCAATTCTTCTCTAGCTACTACTTTAATGCCAGGAAAACAAAATCCTCATACTCTAATGTCATTTGGCACAGAAAGATAGGTGACAAATTCAGGGATAATAATTACCAGGCTTTCTCTTCAGCATGTGTTCTGCCTCTATTGCTGTTATTTCAGAAACTGTGGTGAACACGTGAGCACAATGAACAGAGGCTCGCTCCATGCAGTACCTGTGGTAAATCTGCCTGTCCCCAGCCTCTTTGTCTATGTTAAACTGTTAAAAACAAACAAACACACATTTGCTTGCACTGTTCTTCTACACGAGCAAAACAAAATCACACATTTCACAAATTATCTTTCCTCAAGGCTTTGCAAAATTTTATGATCACAAAAAAGTAATGAAAATTTTTATTAAACCCATTGCCAAAATACATAACTACTTATGCTTAAAAAGGCGTTACTTACTTTATTTCTCATTCTAAACAGCTATTTAACCCCCTAAGTAAATGATGTTTCCACTTCGCTGTAATCAGATAGAATTCTTCAATTTTTGGCATTTTAATTATACTTTTACATATCCCACATTTTATAAATATTGAGCTAATTGTTTTCCCCAAAGACCTTATCATATTTTCCCCGTGAACAATGAAACAGAACTGACATTAAACTTGACATTGAAAATAAGGATAATTATTATCATCCTTAATTCACCGAAAGGGAACCAGAAAAAGAGAAAAGACAAATGCTTTTCCATAGTTATATAATCTTTTTACTTTACAATTTCAAAGAGTGTATAAATATTCCAATTAGATATTGTGTTAGATTGTGTAATCAGCTATCATTCTGGGCGCCTCAACTTAAAAAAAAGCCAAATCTCCAACAATCACTTAAATAATCGGCAATAGTGAGCTTTTGCCATTTCACTTAGTCACTGAATGTTGTGTCTCACATAGCTGCGTATAAAACTAGCAGTGTCTAAGAAAAAATAGTGTATAGAATTTCTGGCATTATATCAGCAGAGTGCTTTTTATAGTAAAGATTATTAGTAGCTCTTCAACAGTATTATGTCAGGCACTCCTCTAAGCATAATATCACATTTAATCCTCATAAACCACCAAGACATATATTTTGTCCACATCTTATATAGAGAGAAATTAAACATTGTAGAGGTCAAGAAACTTGTCCAAGATCACATTCCTAGGAAATATCTTAGCAGAACCCTTAACTGATCCCTGATGAGTCTGACTCCAAACCTTGTACTCTTGTACTCTTATCTGCTTTTACATCATTTAGACTCCAGTTATCAAGTCATTTCCAATAATTATAGCATTACATAGAGAAAAAGACCCATTACATGATTCTAATGAATAGGACAAGGAAATTCCTAGAGCATTCTTTCATGACTGTAATATTTGCAATCATCTCTCTGCAAATGTTTGAATCGGGGCTCTATATGGCATGCTTGGATTAGCAGGGATTTTCTTAAAAGCTCTAATATGGCTTGTCTGGTGCATTTAATCAAATCTCTCATTTAACCAACATTTGTTGAGTAATTATGTGTATCTGTTACTTTACTGAGCTTACAAATTAGTGGGAAAACAGGTAAAAGTTAGGCAGAAATGAGTATGTTCTGAATGAGGTATAGGATCAGAGCACCACTGATTCTAGCTGAGGACAGGGAAAAGTATCTCCTACTATATGGTAAGTGTTTGCATTGTCAGTATCACCTCTAGAATGTAAGATTTTGAAGTGCCAGGACCATAACTGGATGACTAAAATGGTATTTGGACTAAGACATGAAACTGTAATTTGGGGAAAGTTATTTTGAGCTGAAAAATTGGTTTCTCTAAAGAATAAGTATATAAAGTATTACGGCCTGTGCAAAAAAATAGCAGGACATCCGAGGTGACTCTATCATTGGGTGTAGAATGTAAGAGACAGAAGCTGGAGGGATGTCATAGGGCCGGATTACCAAAGTTCCTGAAGATGAGACTGGGAAGTTAGCCTTTGTTCTGCACACAATGGAAAACCACGCTAAAAGGCTTCATTTAGTGGTGTGGTTAAAGCATAGGCTATGTTTAAAAAAAATAACTCTGGAAAGAAGTATGAAATATTTTCCATCTCATTGAGTTTTTGTGAATTTCAAATGAGATAACACGTGTCAAATGTTTAGAAATGTGCCTGGCACATGGAAAGTGCTCAACAACGTTAGCTGTTATTATTATATTGTTGTTGTTGAGAATAATATTTCACAGATGAGATAGCGTTTAACGTGGACATTTAGAGATGGGAAGATAGGTTTTCTAAGTGAGTAAACTGGAGTATATAAAAATACAGGGGGAGGATGGAAGGGGCCTGGCAAGCCCAGAAGAGGTCTGGATGAGGCCAGGTATATGTGTCTGCTTTTGCCTTTCCCTGGTCCCCTGGGGGTCCCTATCTTTTAGGCCTATAGTTTGTATGGCCACATTTGTGGCTTTACAGAAACCCTGTTTCACATGTTGTCTGCCTTTCCACATATTTAAAATCATATGTTAAAATATCTGTCTGGTAATTCCATTGTCTAGGACACATCTGGACCTGATTCTTTTTTTTTTTTTAATTTGTGTTTTTTAAAAAATTGGTATTTCAGAGATGGTGAAGGAGTTTTGATTTGACTGGACCTGATTCTTTTGACGATGGGTCTTAGTTTCTTGCATTGTCATGTATCTCATAACTTTTTATAGAATTCTGGGTAAAAGAACAAAGAATGAGGTAAAGTATATATTAACCAGTAAAACACAGTCATGCAACAGAGGAGGGCAACCCTATAACTGAACTTGACTAGCTCAAAACTTGGTCAGAATAAAAGTTAAAATCTATTGAATAATTGTCTATGGTTTCCTTCCCCCATTTTCTAATTCCAAATGACACTGTCCTCAGTTTCCTATCCAGGAAATTCTCTTGATATTGAAAAAAAATGGGGTAAGACGTAAGAAAACTAAAGGCCGTAAGAGAAAAGCTTTAGTTATTTAGCCATTATAGTCAAGGGGATAATTAACCAATGGCTGGACTTAAAAGAATGAGTTTGGCAACATCTTAGAGGTTCTCGGAAAATTCATATGCTGGCTGAAAATGGTTGAAATGCTATTCTAGCCAAAGAATTTTACTGATAATTTAAACAAACATCGGGGTTCTTGTGGATTGGCTATTAACAAAAAGTGTTTTCAATTAGCAATTATTATTTGAGTAAAATAGTTCTAATCTTTCTACTTTCACAACTTTTTACAAAAGTTGAATTCTTTTATTCTTGTTCTCATGTTTGCCCTATTTTTATTTGCCTGAGTCAGAACTTATTGAAACTGATCCCAGGTTCTGCATCACAGACTAAATTATGACTCATTCCTTATGTTGAACTTTTAAAAATGTTTCATGTATATAAAGTTTGGTCAGAGGAAAACTGTAATCGCTGCACAAAAGACACAGCAGTTGCCGGTCAGTCTCTGCTCCCACCTTCCTGGAGCACACTGAGCTGTCATGTCAGGCCCCAGAGTCATCCTTCATTAGCCCCCAGGTCCCCACAGCAGGGACCCAGGAGACCTCTGGGCGTCCCGTTACCAGAGGCCTGTCGCCAAGGCCAGGCTATAGAAAATGTCTGGACAACAGCCCTGTGGGACAGGCCGTGGTTCTAGCATCCAAATAATCATTTCACAACTTATCATAATTAAAAAACAATTTTTTGTATTGCTCAACACATAAAATAAAAATTTTATGTATTTTTAAAAAATGAATAAAAATTAAAAACAAGTAAAAATAATAAAACAATAAAAAAATTTGTGTATTACTCAATACATATAATACAAATTTTATGTATTGGGCAGCACATTAAAAACTTTGTGTTTTTATATATTGCCCAAATTCTAAACCTAGCGTGCTTATGAGGACTGCTGTTGTGAAAAATGATTATGAATTTGACTCAAAACCTAGTTCTTTCCTACTTATTATCTACCAGTCACTCTGCTGGGAAGAATATTTTACTAGAAAAATGTGCTGGGTTCTGACTAAGCTTACATGTATCAACCCATGAGGGGCTTTAAACTAGGGAGATACATAATCATATGTGAAGATAGTATGATACAAATACAGACCTTTTACCAAAAGGATAAGGTTATAATATGTAACTATATACTGTAATGCATTTGTTCCTTAAGAACAAATAAGATTATCCAATGTGTATTAGTTAGTTTTTTAAATTAATTCTTACTATAAAAGATTCTTAAGTATTCTGAAGTGAACTATTCCATATGCTATTCTAATATTTTCTCTTTGACAGAAATCAGTCTGTTCCTCTCCAGGAAACACGGTTGTTGAGCTTATCACAGATCACTGGTTTTCCCTTATTAGCCTACGATTACCATACAACATCGGGAAACTTCTCCACCTTCTGGCTTTCTGAATTCCTTGGTGTGTCTATTTTGAATGTACGCTTTATGTTTATAATTTGACCTTTAGGTTAGGCTGACCTTTTTATAGGGAAGCTCTCATTAGGATCACTCATTGTTCTGCAAATGTTTTCCAGAAAGAACTTTCTTGCACTCATCAAAGTGCAAGAGATAAAAGATAAAAGAGATAGTACTGCAACTTCCCAGAATCTTTATCTGAGTATTATTTATGTACACACACACACACACACACACACACACATATTCTGTGTCATAGAATCCTAGAACTTTTTAAACTGGGAAAGTCTTTGGAAGTCAATTTTTCAACTTTTCGATTTTCCTGATGGTGAAAGTGAACCCTAAATTGTTAAATCAATTTGATTGTTAATATAGATACCAAATCTGCAAAACCCCTGAATATGGTACTCGAATGTTTTGTTAATATTATTGACATGATGATGTAAAAGACATACTTTTATTAATCTGATTTAACTAATAGGAAATAGAAGAAAGAAATCAAAACTGAATGATTTTGGAGGTCTTGAAATAGGTAGTCTCATAAAATGAGCAAACTGTTTGGTCATCAGGACCTACATCCCTGTTTTCAGTAACTGCTGTCCAAACAGAGAACTCCATTTATGTATTGTGGAGTCAGAGGAAAAATCTGACCTATCGACCTACGTGGTTTCCAATCAATTGTTCGCTTGGAGGATACAGAAAGAAAGACTCACAATGCAAGTTTGTACACCTAGAGTCCCTGCTCTTTACCTGCCACTCAGAGCTGTGTGTGCATCCAGGGTCTTCACAGCGTTTCCCAAGCTGCAGGGTAGAACAAGAGCCCAGTCCTATGTCCACAGTGTCTTGCTCCTACCACATCTTTCTGGATCTACTGCTCCAAAGTAGGACAGAAATCAGGCTTCTCACCTCTATACTGCAATCTGAACAAAGTTAAACTATATGAGCTGTCTGTCACCCCAGGGGAAGCTTTGTCATGAATAGTGACTAGCTAAAAGGGCATTGCTGCCATCTGGCTGGCAGATGAAATGCAAAGATCAATACTTACCCTTCAGCTTCAGTGGTCTGAAAGAAGGGTGGGTGAGAGGGGAGGAGGAAGGACTATTCACCTTGTCAAGATGGTTGTAGAAATCGATATTTGCCGCACAGAGATACCTCCCGAGTAGTGTGGCGTGGGTTGTAAATATCGTGGCGATAGGAAGTTTCCGAGCTCGAGAAAGGATCAATCCAGTTCCGGCCTGCCATTCATGGAACTGGGTGATGACATGTTTCCCGTCTGCGTGGTCGGTCACCTACGTCAGAAAAAAGCATTCAGAAAAGTGTTGATGAAGCTTGATCAAAATCGTGGCCCACGTGGTGTCTGTCAATTTTATTGCAATTGAAATGGGTCTAAGTATGCATAAGGATAAATGTTTTTATAGGATTCAGTGGTATGATCATAAAGCCAATGTATTTTTATGTCTCAATCCTCTCAGTGATGGATCAGGTTTATTTTTGTATTCACAGTAAAATAAACGGTAATATTAATAACACATAATATTAATACTAATAAATGGAATAAATGCAAAGCAATCACTCAATAAATGTTCATTAATGGATGAATGAATAATAGCAAAAATAATATTTTTGAAGATATCACTGAACAGTGGAATCAATTATGACTACCCACTTACTAGCTTCTTTTTAAATAAGTAATAAGTGACTCTACCTTTAAGTCCATCTAATTTGAGTTTTCTGTTCTTTGATGCCAAAATAATTTTTACTGACATATTATTTTAAGAATATAGAACTAGGGAGAATGAGGCTAATAACTTATTTAGTATCAAATAGCAACTTAATAACACACTGACAACCCAGATCTAATTTCACTAAACCAAACCAGGTGGGGCACAAGTCTCTTCTCCTTAAAGTTACCTTGTTTCATTCTTACAAAAAATTAAAGTTCACACTCACTCCCCTTACAAGTGGTCCATTTCCTTAAAGAAGGGAGTAGCAAAACATCTGAATTCAGGAAGGCTGGGCAGAGAACTGGGAAGTTTGGAGAGTTAACCTAGAACAGTGGTTATCACACTTAGTGTATGTCAGAATCAGCTGGAAAGCTTGTTAAACACTGATATCTGGTTTCTCCTCCCAGATAATCTAATATTCTGAGCTGGGGGTAAGAATTTGCATATCTTACAAGTTTACAGGTGATTCTGCTAATACTGCTCCAAGAAAATACTGTTTCAGAAACATTGACTTAGGCCAAGTCCTTTGAACTTCAAAGTACCTGATCTTCAAAAAGTTCCTCATGACCACGACCAGTTGTCCAGACCAGCAGCAGCACTCACAGCTGTTAACAGCTGCACAGAGGTGGCAGCAGAAACAGGGCTTACAGGGTAGTCTTAAATGATTTTTCGATGTCTCTATTTACCCTTCGAACTAAAGAAAATCTCTATTTTTGGAACTGCTTTATTTTAGAGAAAATTGGGACTCTCACTTTCTTGCTTCTATCCCCTCTATTTCCCTGTAACAGAAAGGATGACAACACACAGACACATATGCGTGCACACGCGCGCTCACATACACACACACACACCACTTGGTGGTTGGCCTCAGCCTTGGGGTAGTGGCTCAGGGAGGCAGTTTGTAGAGGAAGAGTTGGTCCCACCAGCTGGAGCTACAACAAGACTGCATATCTGCCATTAGGCCAGATTCTGTGCACTAAGCATACACTAAGTGTGACGATACTCTCACCCGTCTTGTCCTATACTGTCACCACCAAAATGAAGCAATAGGGTTGCCTGTCCACCTTCCCCTTCATTTCAAGGCAATTTTTTATGGTGAGTGGAATGTGATTTCATCAGTAGGAGAGATGGGTTAAGGGAAACACACTCCCGACATACAATTCTGTGATTTGTTCTTAGACCACACCCCCCACTGTGCTAGGGGGGGGCTCTTCTACCACCCGGTTCTGGGGCTGTATGTAATCATCTTGAGGCAGTGCAAGGATGCAAAGAAATCTGACTGCCAGACTTTGAGGAGTTAAGAGAGTGCAGACCTGGCTCATTTTACAGGGACTGGTTTCCAATGCTCTTGCTTTTTTACATCTATGGCATATTCCCCTACAAAGAACTCCTCAATAACTGCCAAGACCACTTCAGCCCTTAGCAAATAACAAACATATCTAAAAGCCACTCTAGTTGCACAAGTACTTACGCATAAACAAACAGAATATTTCAAGCTGTTTGCCACTCTTAGGATTTTAGAATTCACTTACATAGTACATGATGTATTATATACGATCTCTTTATTTCTTGCATAAATGTTGAGTATCATCTACGTAGCAGGTGATATAATTCAATGTTTTATATACATCATTCCATTTAAATCTGACATGAGGTAAACAGTAATAAGCATCATTATTACTCTGTTCCAAAGGCTGGTTTTTGGTATGAGGAATGTGGAACGTGCCCTCAGATTCCTTTAAAATGTATTAGGACAAGCAATAATAGCATCACCTCAAAAATGGTCTTAATCCAAAGATCATGGGATCATTGCCGTGCACTGAGCGCAGTTGTGCTGCTCCTCTGTTGTGACACTATGCAGTAAACTGTACCTCTTTTAAGAACCAGGCAGTTAAAGATCCAAATATCAGCATGTCATTGGCTTCTCGGTCATGATAAGGAATGCCGACACTGCATGCTTCCCAGAGGTCACCCTTCCACCTGTCCAGGTTCCAAGCCGAATAGCCTATGTCAAAGAGCACCACGTAAGGACTCCCTTCAATCAGCCATCTTCCAAAATGTACCTGTCATATAAAGAATACACAGCCATATACTAATATTAAGTATTGCAAGAGCAGAAACTGTAATTGAGCTCGGAGGATATAAAGTGTATGTAGAACTCAAAGCTACATAGAAAAGAGTAGTGATAACACATAGTGTCTGCTGTTTGAACCTGAGGCTGGAATTTGCACACATGCATTCATCTAGAATCTCTAAATTCTTGCCCTTCATTAAATTTGGTCATTTAAAAGTGTCACTCCATGAATTAGTATTAAACGTGTTTGGGGACAGGATTTGTCTTAAGAGTTTTACAGAGCTTTGCCCTGAAAGAATATGTGAATGTGTTGGTTTGCATTTCGAATGCTGTTACACTCGGAAGGGCGTCTCTGAAAGGCAGTAGCGGCTGTATCCCACGAGGCGCCACATTTCTCAGACCTAAAGAATTGGATTTGTTTTGTAAAGTACAAGCGAATCTGTTAAAAACTATAGGCTGAGAGCTAACAATGGAGTGCCCTCCGGAACAAACAGCTTCCCGGAAACGACAGCTTCCCGAATGGCTAAAAGCAAAGCCTTTGTTTAAACCACTCTAGACTACCTGTCCCCATTCACAATAACCTAATAAACATGGAGCTTACATATCTCTGTTTAACCCCTCTGTTTAAATGATAAACTTACCTTAGAACTTAGAGATTCACCTTTGAAAGACTTTGTAACCATTTGCTCACGTAAATAGAATTAGTTAAAGAACCTGTAGAAGCCTTCTGTAAAAGCCTTTTGAAAATCTGTTAACCTGAGAGGAACTACCTGTTGTTATGTAAATCTGTTACCCCTGACAATTGTTCACTATTTTCTATAAGTTACCATGTAAGACCTCATTCGGGGCTTTTGAGACCAACAGAGAGGTCTGAGCCCCCTGAGCTCCCACTTTGCCTATAATCTTTATAAACTTATAAAACTATATCTTTGTCTCAGTGTATTCTTTTATTTCTTCCATTTTCCACTTCTCTCTATTATTTTCTTATCCCTTGCAACTCTACCAAAGGGACCTGGTTTTTTGCAGGGAACACTGGCCACGTTCCCTGCATAAAAGCAACAGACCTAGATTATGCAATCTCTGTTCTTCTGTAGTCTCTGCCCAGGTTGTCCTCACACGCTTTCCTTGCAGGAAAAGGCTGATAGGGTCTCCTGGCATGGCCTTGGTCACACAGGGAGAGCCTGTGTTGGATCTGGCCTGTCAGGGAGACTTCTGCCTTGCTTTTATCACTCCTTCCTAGTTCCACTGTTCATGCTTCTAAAATAAACAGTACTTGACCACACACACACACAGCCCTCCTATGATCTTAAGCTCATGGATATAGGGTTGAACTATAGCCTATGTGTTTATGACAGAGTCATGAAATGTTCTCTATTTTTAACAACCTGGGTTGTGGGATGTAATTTCTACAGTGTCACTTAATCTCCTTTATGAAACAGGACTTACAATATTTCCTGCTAGAAAAGAAGCTGTTTCTGTAAACAATGTGTATGATTTATCTTATCACTCCTATCAAAAAAAAAAAAATGACTCGAAATGTTTGTTGCCACCAGAGGTCTTAACTAAACGTGTTGCCCAAGATACATTATCTTTTTAATCTAGCAGTTCAAAGTCTAATTCTATTACCTTCTTCAAATTGACTTAGATTCCTAAATGTTTTATCTTGTGCAACTTTTAGTGCATTAGCTATCTCAAATTTTTTCCAATTGTAAGTATTAATATATAGTCACTTGTATATACAAGTTTTAACTTCCCTTTTGTTCTCTATATTTTTATAGTAATCTACTTGTTCCTTTGTTTTAATTTTTGTTTTGTGTTTATTCTCCTACTACATGATATGCCACCTAATAAACTACCTTAAATCCTTTCTGGAACTCAACAGAAGCTAAGAGCCTCTGTCCTGATGTAGCTAGGCCTCTCTAGAAAACTGAGTGTGTTCACATTGCTTACCTATTGACACTACAACTCGACCTGTGGCTGAATTTTGCACAGTTTGGAAGCCCAATTTAATTGCCATCTCCTCCCATGGGACTCAGGCATGTGTGGTGATGTTTCTCCCCTGACCCTTCCTTGGCCAACCTTGAAAGACCCTCATTATGCGTCAGTTGTTTCCATTGTAATTTAGTGTTTATCATGCCACTCTTCCAGCCCCAAACAACTTTTTAATAGTTTTATCTTTGTGAAAGTCACTGGTTCATATATTTATACATTATTAATAATATGTAATATTATTATATAATATTTGCTGACTGCCTAATATGTGCCATACGATACAGTGACCTAAGGTCACAGAGAAGTGTTGAAACTACAAAGAGACAGTGTAAAGTAGCTTGTCTTGACTTCTAGTCAGTTCTTGGCTACAACATGAAAACATCCTTACACCAGAAATCCATGTAGAATCCTGAGACCGATCAGTTCCACTGTGTTTCTCATCTCCCTTCCTTCACAAGAATTTCAAATGAGAGCCCCTTGTAACATCTCATTTACTTTTGTCCCAATAGTATAAGACGCACCCTTCTATCACTGTCCTAACTTTCTCTATGAAATATTTTCCTGGTACTCTCGGGACCTCAAGTTCCCTTATAAACGACACATTCTACTCCTTAAACCTTGCATGTACCTTCTAGACCCCATTGCCTGCACAGATATCTCAGGTGAGGGATTCTCATTTATTCACCCCCAGAAACTATATTCCTGGAATGAGTATGAAGGAAAGTTACTATTTTTAAATTTCACTGAAATTTGTAAAGCCTTATTCCTTATTTGTGTGTAAAAACATCTTTGAAATGTATGTTATGCAAATATATTACCTATATTACCTTTCCTTGTTCTACTAATCACTTGGTTACTTTCTGACCTTATCCTAAGCAACTTCAAAGTTTTTTTATGCTGCACAATTAACCTGGTATTGTTAATAGTTACTTGACCTTATTGACTTAGAAGAACTTCATGTCCACCTGATTTCAGCCACCCAAGATCATGGCTGCATGATCCTTATCAAAATCCAAATTGTTCCTCCTCTAAGACATTTCACTTTGGCATTCTGTTACCTGACCACAACTTCTATACTTCTACTTCTCTCACATTGTTTCTCCCAGTGTCTATATTCTTTCTTTTTCCCCTGTAAGACCTCTAGTTCCTGGAAGCCTCCATTTTCTCCTGCATTATCACCTCCTTTCTAGCTTTGCTTCGTTTTCTACCCATTTCAATACAATGGCCCATCGATTCAACTATTAATTCAACGATTCTCAGAATTACCTTCAATACCGTGCCACCTTGACCCATTGAGTGAATGCTAGAAATAACACTAGATTTCCATCTATTCAACTTCCTGCATTGCCACTCAGGTTGTGGATTGCTCCTGAGAAAGTCACAGTCATGTATATCTGTGCCACTGAAGGGTCATGACTACATCTCAAAAATATCCACAAATTCTTTTACGTATTCCTTGAACAGTTTTTCAGAACTTCTTCCTTCAAATTCTCTTATTTCAACACTAGCCTCCTAAGCCTCATAAGATGAGGTTTAACTCCTACCTCAGTAAGATCACCAAAAAACATTGGGTGAGATCATCCTGAATTCTTTACTAACTTATCTCTAGTATTTGCATTCATCCTTTAGTTCCTGTGTGAGTGAAAGGCATGAAGAATCATCCTTTCAATATTGCTTTGGATCTTGTTCCTTCTCCCATCCTTGGTGACTTTACTCCCTTCAATCATCCATTCATTCTGAACTTTCAACTTCTCCCTGTCTGCTAGATATTTCCTTAGGGCAAATAAATATGCTCAGGTCTCACCCATATTTAATAAAACACCAATTCTCAAGACCACATCACCCTGCAACTACTTTATTCTCTTTCGTCATCACAGAAAAATCTCATAGCCACAACTTCCGTATCTTTTTTTCTTACCATTAATTCATTCCTTAACCTACCGCAATCTAATTTAACCTCCCCTTCTCTGAAATTGTACTTAGCAATATTACCAATATTACCAACGACCTGAATGTTGCCAAACCCAATTCCCCCTGGTTCAATGCTTTGTCAACTTCATCCCTCGCTGATGCTTAAAACTCTCTCCTCCCTTGCCTTGACATCACTATTCCTGTTGTGGCTGTAACAAACTACCACAAACCTAGTGTCTTAAAACGACACAGATTTATTATCTAACAGATTTGAAGGTCAATAGTCCAAAATGGACCTCACAGGCCAAAATTAACATGTTAGCAGAGCCACATGCCATCTGCAGTCTCTAGGGGAGAATCTGTTTTCTTGCCTTTTTCTCCTTCCTGAGGCCACCTGCTTCCTTGTTGCTCCACCTTTCATCTTCAAAGCACATCACTCTAACCTCTGCTTCCATTGTCACATCTCCTCTCTGATTCTAATTCTACTTCTTTTCCTCTTAAGAGTATTAGGCAAGTAGCCTTTGCCAGACCCCTAGGGAGACAAAGGAATGGAATGCAAAAGGGGAACTTGCATTCCTTTTTCCCCCTGATAAGGACAAAGTTTATCCCTCCCTAGCCCGCCTGATAAGAACTGCTCGGGAGCGGCAGGATGGATATGACTGGGGCAGGGGTCCTAGGAGCTGGTTGTTGGAAAAAGAATTTATTATAGAGGCTGTTCTGGCCCAGTTACTTACTCCCCTGCCCCCAGAAAAATCCTCTATGAAACCCACTGCTCTCCCCTTCCTGGGATGGACGCTTTTTTCGGCCTCCAGCCGTCTGCACCCAAATGCTCAAAATCAACAGCATTTTGCTAAACCTGAGCCTTCGTGTGTCTCCCTCTCGGCTCTGGACCTAACAAAGAGGACCCTTATGCTTACATTGGGCCTACCCAGATAATTCAGGATTATCTCTCCATCCCAAAATCACATCTACGAAATCCCTTTTGCTGTATGAGGTAACATGTTCACAGGTTCTGAGGATTAGAATTTGGACATCCTTGGTTCTACATCATTGGCTTTGCTTCTACATTTGCAATCTCTGGCTTCTTTTAATGTAGACACTCTAACATATAGATATTCTCCAAGGTTTGGTTCAAAATTTTTGCTTTTGGTTTATAAATTTCCACTGAATAATGTTATCAACACCAAGGACTTCAACTACAACTTACGTACAATGACTTCCTCAAGAGCATGTCTACCCTATAGCCTGCTGTGCTTCAAACCAATTGTTCTTTCCCCTTGGTTTCCACAAGGTGCCTCAAATGCAATGTATTTAAAATCAAGTTCATCATCTTTCTCACAAACCTCCTCTTCTTCCCTAAGTAGGTACGTGATCTTCTCTTGTGAGTTCATGTAAATTGCAGTCTATTTTCTTGCAGCAGCTTACTGAGAGTAGCCCAGTGAATGTGAAGTCAGTTCCTTTACCTGGCAGCCATGCTTATTCATTGTTTCCACTGCTCTTTTGACAGCCTCATTTGCAGGTTCACACTGTTCCACCTGAGTCTTCATATTATGCTCGAAATATGGACCTATCAGAAAATAATTGTCTCCCCATTCATCCGCTGTTGTTTTGGCCTTTGTCTGAATCACAGTATAGATGCCTCCAACTGTTAAAAAGAAAAAAGTTCTGTTATCATTCATGTAAGTAATTCATTTTAAGTGAGAAAAGGATGACAATGAGTTCTCGTTTTTAAGTCACCATTTAAGATCTACAAAGCACAAATTTATGTAATCTTCTAAAGGAATATATTTAACATGTTTTTAAGGGACACTAACAAATGGTTACTATTCGGTTCAGTTCTGGGCATATTTGGAAGCCCCTTCTAGGTGCATGTGAGAGAGCAGCAGGCTGGCAGCAGAAGAGAGGTACAAACATTTCAAGGAAATCTGAAGAGACAAATAAAATAAAGCAGTACTTGGCTTAAAGCTTCATTCACTTTAAAGTATCACAGTCAGGACGAGCAGCCATTCTGATGACACATGCCCTCAACAGTAGTAATCACATTTTGCCTCTTCTACAGTGGTCCGAGAAGGAGCTAAGGTTATGTCCAAGTAACAGCCCCTGTGGCTTACAATTATGAGCAAGTCTCCCAAGCTAAAGAGCACTCCTCTTCTAAGGCACCAAGCAAGGTACCTTTTTTCAAGGGGAAAGAGCTTATAGATTTTGATGGAAGATGCTTGGTCCAACCCTGATGTCAAATTCAGTGACATAAATACAAATTTTTCATACTCATTCAGTATTTCTCCCTTCCTAGAGTCCCTGTTTCATTTTCCCCCTCTGGCATTGCTGCTACCACTGTTAAAACACAAAGCCAGAAAATATGCATACTCTTGGAAAATATGCATACCCTTGGTTCCAGCAAGTCCATATCTAGAAAATTATCCTGGGGAAAAAATAAAAAGAGTGCCAAAATGTACATATATAAGGATGTTTATTGAAACATTATAATGGCAAAAAATTAGAAACAACTTAGATTGAACTAATTGACTCATTTAATGGTTGTAAAGCTCAATTAGCTTATCTATTAAATGGGGATAAAATAATATTTAGCTTGAAGAGAAAGGCAGGTTGTAGCAACAGTATTAAAAATTAGGCCTGGCTGAGAAGTTGATAATTAAGCAAATAAAATATCACTTAAAGGGGTGATTTATAAAAAGGAAGAAATCAGGCAAACAAATGTCATGGGGAAAAATTTCTTAAGCAGAGGTAACAATTACAGCCAAGGCTCTAAGTTGGGAGCAGAGTATGCAAGGGGAGGGTAATAGGCATCTGACAGGATAGGTTCAAAACTCAGTAACCAGGTAGAAG